GCCAGGACTATCTTGAGATTCATGGTGGATGCTGAGAGCTGAAATCAGAGTCCTACCAGCGGCTCCTTCCAGTTACTGACATCAAGTCAGGTTATATTCACTAGGATGGAGAGGAATGGAGCAAACTCCACCCCGTGGGTTGGACAGGAAATTTCTGACCTTGATTTATGTAATTCTGTTCCAATTTTCTGTCCTGTGGTTTGGCTCAAGGCATTACTTCCACATGCACAGCCTCTTCTTTGCCCCTGAACTCTTACTAGCAGCAGTCAGTACCAACTACTGATTCCCATCATTTAGACCAAATGACAGGGCATCCAATTAACAACACTAAACTCCACCTTCCACCCAGAACGGGTCTGAGGAAGAATGCAAACCTCAGATCCCAATCCAGTCCCGCATGCAGGCACTAAACTGCCCACTTTCCTACCTCCTGGCACGTGCTGCACCCCAGCAGTTCCAGGATCCACCGCCCAGTTCAGCAGTAAGCACTGAATTTTGCCTGTGGCATAACGCCAAGCCCTTGATTTAGTCTCAGGCCTTTTGTATCTAGACAGTGAGAAAGGAGGAGTAGTTGAGGGCCGGGAATTAGCAATCGGATTTGTACACCAATGCAGGTCCCTAAGCTGTGTGACCTTAGGGGAAATATTAATCTCGCGTCTCACCTATAAAGAATGGATAAAACTACCATACAGATTCATGAAGATTAAACATGATCATGCACATCAGGTCTGACACAGGGCAGGCTTTCACAAAGTGCTAGCTTTTGGCACTCATTTCTGAAACAGAACAGAGGGGATGTTCCTCCATTGTTCAAGACCTGAAAACTCTTTTTGCAGAGACAATAAAGGGATTAGTGGAAACCAGAAGGCTACTTGCAAGTGCAAGTGGAAGAAACTTTATTTCAGAGGGACAGAGGTTCCTAGGCAGCCCTCCAAGTAATTTGAAAACCAAGACCAGGAGTCTCCTCAAGAAATTTAAGACATTTTTCAGAGAGGAGACTTAGTATAAGGTAAAGAAAATGACTGGGTAGGGTATGCCTTGAAGCAGGTAGTTCTCTACACATGGAACTACAGCAGCCTCTACTGGCATTCACGGGTATAACCGGGGAAGGAAGGAACTAGGGTCTTGAAAAGGAGGGAGACAAGGCAGCTCAGGTTTGGGAAGAGCTAACTTTCACGTAATTCAGACTGAACACAAATGAAGGACCCACTCTTGCTTCGTAGATGGAAGCCTTAGTCTTTCCACTATCCCAGAGAAAAGAGGCAGCTTCACTGGCACAGGGATGCAAAATAGGGTGGGCTAGAGGTGTCTGTGAAGGTGGGTGTCCAAATGTGCACACATGAGTATGATGAGTATGTCCCTTGCCACCAGAGCACTGCACCAGGGTTTGCGGCTTTAGAAAGAGGTCAAAGTACCTGTATTTTTAATAATTTCTTGACATGGTAAAAGAATTTTACATTACGATCCAAGGGTGGTAGGGTGAGGAAGAGGGGCAGCGGAACAATCCAACAAATAAAAAGGGAAACTGAGAAACACATGGTGGGAAGAGGGAAGGGTTTTAGCTGGAAGGGATCTGTAGGGTGGGAAGGGGCACTGCCCAATTAAAATGCAATTGGTTTGTTACTGAATACTATTCGTGGGAAGACAGCATCCTGACTCCTTCTCTACAGAATACTGGGAGTAAAAATGATGCATCCCAGATGGAAATATGATTGGGGGTTGGAAGACAGAGACGGGAAGAATAAAAGTCACAAACACACTGAGAGTCACTGGCAGGCTGACTGCGGATGTCGACTCTCCAGCAGTGGTAGAATAAAAAGCTGGGGGCTAATGAGGGTTAACATAAAAGCTGTAACAATAAGTGATATCTCTGGAAGATTCAAGAGATAGGAGGCAACTCTTCTACGGTTTTGACCTGCCCAGCATATTTCCACATACACAATGTGTATATGTGTGTGTATACGTGCACATATACACACAAATGACTGCTTTCCCTGGAAGCACAATACTATAAATAAGAGATATATTTCCCAAAGGGAAAGCGCAACAGGAGCAGCAGCATCTGTACCTCACAGCTGCAGACACTCCAACCCCAATTTACAACTGGCCTGGGAAAAGGCAACCAAGAGTCACAGGAGCCTTTGCAATAACGCCAACAGGGGCCCCAGTCACAGAGGAAAAGGCCTTCCCCAACCCCTCTGCTTCTCATCTCTTGGTTCTACTCCAACTCCCCCTGGGCACCAGAAAGCTATAATATCAGGAGGATGGGCACAGACTTATGTCTGGGTGGATGATATCTAAGACAACTATTACCTCCTGAAGGGTATGTGTGTGACAGGGATCATATCATGGAGGGGGGAGGGTATGTGGGGTAGAGAGTTGGAAGGAGTGTGTGTGCATGTCGCTATGGGTATATATATGCACACACACAAGTGTATGTGAAAATCCCCATTATAAAAACATCTGAAGGAGTTAGGGACTCCACTGAAGGCCTGAAGTATTCCTTGTCATGATCAGGTTCAAGGTGGGATATATGCAGATGGAAAACCCTAAGTCATCACCAGGGCAACTGTGGCAGGGAGGATTCAATGTCCCACAGAGGCAAGAGACATTAACCTGATGTGAGGAAGAGAGAAACTGGTCCCCATGTCACCCCAGTTCCTAAAAAACACCTAGCACTTTCCTTCCAGTTCCCTCAGCTTCTAA